TTTCCCTACTCAAGCTCCTTGTGTTATGAGACGCTGAAGCAGCAGGCAGTTCTGAATGCAATCACGTTACAGAAATTAGGGTCACTTTTAAACTGTTCTTTTACCCGCTGTGTGATCAATACGAATCCGAGCAGTGATAACGTGTGGTTGTCAGCTTTGCTCACTGCCTAAAAATGCACTTTATTTCTTCTCTCACAGGAGTACCTGGACCTCAGTGGACCTCTCGAGCAGTACTCACCTAGTTACCCTGACACGAGGAGTTCGTGTTCTTCAGGTGATGACTCTGTTTTCTCTCCCGATCCGATGCCTTACGAACCTTGTCTTCCCAAGTACCAACACATGAATGGGAGTGTTAAAACATGAAAAGAAATCACGTGGAGGAATAAGGAAAGAAGAACATCAAGCTACCTACCATATACAACAGAATCTCTTTTCTCCGGGACCTTAATGTTTCTGCTTGTACATAGGAAATATGGGAAAAAAAGAAAAAAAAAAAAAGAAAACTTGGAGGAAAGCAGTGTCAGAACCTACGTAAAGAATCTCATCCTTTGCAACTTTGAAATATTCCCAACCAAGAAGAATGTTTATGAGCTGTGTCTAGGTACCCATTGCTATCAATTTTCTGGCTTCCTGTAAGCTGCAACAGACTTTGTTTGTACAATGGACCAGTTGGACTTGAGGCAAACTCTGGGTCTGCCTTTCTTGTTTATTTTGTAATATTTGGAGAAAATATATGTTGGCACACACTTACAGAGCACAAATGCAGTATATAGGTGCTGGATGTATGTAAATATATTCAAAATATGTATAAATATATATTATATATATTTACAATGAATTATTTTTTGTATTGATTTAAAAATGGATGTCCCAATCCACCTAGCAGATTAGTCTCTTTTTTAACAGCTATTTGCTAAATGCTGTTCTTACACAGAATTTCTTAATTTTCACCATCCAAAGGTGGAAAATACTTTTGCTTTCAGGGAAAATGGTATATCATTAATTTATTAACTAATTGGTAATGTACAAAACAGTTAATCGTTTATAGGGTTGTTGTGTTTTTGTAATTTAAATGGCATTTCTATGCAGGCAGCACAGAGAACTAGTAGATATATTGCTCAGACTTTACTAGTTTTCAGATCTTTAAAAAAAAATTATTTACAATATATAACTAATTTGGGGGAATTAAACTTTTGATTTATTTGTGTTAAAAACTGCGGTGTCAGACGATTATTCTTATCAAAGCCAAACCTTTTAACAAGAAAGTCTTTTATACTCAATACCCGTCGCTTCGGCAATTTAACTCTTTGGCAGTGTTTCCCGTGGCCAAAAAGCAGAATCGTTAAAGAGGGTTCCTAAAGTAGGGCAAGACATGAATTTGTCTCTAACCATAGCAGGACGTACTGCTCTAAAAGGAGCTGAGCTTCTACCCTGGCTTGCACATGCATCGAATTAACCACAGTTCTCTTCCCCGAGCTGGATAATCGGTTCCAGATCTTTTGGCCTGGATCTTTTAGACTATGCCTCTGTTGTAACTTCAGCTAAAAAGAGAGGAGTTGTTTATAATGACAATTTGCCATAGGAATATCAGCATCTTTTTACGGGATTAATTCATGCTGACTCCAGTATTTCCTTCTGATCCATTCCATAACAGTAGGTATAGCACTGGCCTTTGCTAAAATATCATTGTTGTATGTGTCTTTTTATGGAAGTCTCGTGTTTTCACTTTCAGATCACTCACACTGATGTGGCCATGCAATATGAATGCAGATTACGCTGTTTCATGTGGTGGGGTTTTGGTTTGGTTTTGGTTTTTGTTTTTTTTAAAAAAAATAAAAATAAAATTTGGGTAAAAGAAGTATTAAAATCTGTTAACTTTTGTACTGACAATAAAATGTTTCTACAGATATTAATGTTCAAATTACAAAATAAATGTCATGCAGCTTATTTTTCCTAATCCTTTGTGTCATACAAAATGGTTTCCTGAACATCAAGTGGTGGAACACGTCCAGAAATGCTTCCTTTTGCCCTTATCGTAGATCCTACATTACAAAGCAGTTCTTTCAGCAGTAATACTTTTGCCTCTGTCCTATAGCACGTCTGCTCATTAATAACACGGGAGATTTGAGTAAACGTACGTACAGTCTGCGGTGTTTGTGGGGCGGGCTGCTATTTGCTGGAAAATGGTTTGAAGTGTTCATAGTGTAGACATAAAATATTCTCTCTTTGTTTAGTCTGGCTGTGTCCTTAACTTAGTGAGGTTTCTCGTTCATATTGGAGAGGTTGGAGGACCATGTGTGTGGAAGATTTTTAAAAAAACAAGAGATGGAAAGACACAGTCATCATGGAAAGAGTATAAAAGTTGGGGTTTTTTTGTTTAATCTTGTTTTTTTAAAAACAGAAGGAAGATACACCAAAATAGGTTGTGCTTCAGACAGAAACGAGATCTTTATAGTCACATTACTGCTGCAGGTTAGCCAAGAAAAGGGTTGTTCAACCTGGTCTTCACCACATGCAGTAAAAGTGCTCCAGACACCAAAGTATTCTTTGGTTTCTTTTTGTCTCTTTCTGCTTTGACCAGAAAATCCTCTCCCAGTCCCAAGAAACTTTCTAAAACAGTGCCTGTTAGAAACTGGTGGTTTCCAGTGAAGATTTATCTGATTGAACAAATTCCCGCTGGCTTTCCTAAAAACTAACAATTCCCTTCCCATGACATCTATTGCTATGAGCAGCAGTGGTAGCTGCTGTCTGACAGAAACCACAATGTTCCTAATGACACGTGTCTGGTTTTAAGTTTCTCTTAAAGGGTATTGGAAGATCTTGAGTCTTGCTCTGCTCATATTGAAGTGAATGTAAATGCATCTTTACAACTTTAATACCTTTTTAAAATAAAAGTATAGAAACATGATGGAAAGGAGCTATTAAGCAATGTAAACGTCTTTGATTACCCTGATTTTGTTCTAAAGAGTTCATTTGCTTTTCCTTCAGTTCATTTTTGGTTTAGCTCTCAGAGATTTAGATTTGCACCTTGGAGACACCACAATTTGACAAATGTTGGCTGAAGTTTATGTTACCATTTTCCTCATTTTATGGTGTAATCCCTGGATTAAGCTTTTTGTTTTTTCCTGCTATCTGATGACTTTCTTCTCCATTGCTGGCTGCCTAATTTCCTTCTGTGAAAACCCTGGCTCTAGAGCAGGGCACAGGCGTGCTCCTTTTTTGGGGGACTAGAAGAACATCCTCTGTGTGGAGCTGCAAGTGGAATTTAGGCACCAGAAAATAAAACCCAGCATTGAAATCTGTCTGAAGGGGACAGAGTCTTTATTGTCCTGCCTACCTTTGCCTCTTTCATGAGAAGAAGGGGATATGAATTTGGATTCCTAACTCATCTGAAAATAAAGTTGCCATTAATAACGGGAGGAATAATGAAGTGTAACGTTATGTCAGGAAATGAATTTATATTACGTGGATAATGAGGACTTTGTTCTGTGTATGATCAGTCTTCTGCAGTACCTGGTTGTTTCTTGTCCCTCGTTTAATTATTGATTCAAATAATCTGCATAATATATGAGAAAATATGGATGTAGAAAACAGGTTTGTTATGGTTCAAGCCCATAAAGAAGTTAATGTTGCCTGTTTCGGTTTTGTTGGTTTTGGCTTGTGTTTTGGGGTTTTTTTTTCCCACTTCTTTTACTATAACATAGCAAGCGGTATGGGCTATATATTACATCAGGTAAGAATACAGCTTCTGTCCTGTCACTGTTTCTGCTGATTTCTTGTCACTCAATATCTGTTCCATTATGCTTTTACAAAAACAGGAGTTGAACCGTGTTCTGAGTTTCAAATTTATGAAAAGACAGGTAAGTTTGCTGTTTTATTTCTGGAGGTAACATGAGCAGAGCTGTGCAGAAAACCCAGTAATGTTCATGTCCAGCTACTGAGAAAAGCATCACAAAACCCTGAGGTCTACAGACCATCTTTGTAGTGAAAGATTCAGTGATCTCAGTGTAACTAATTAAACCAAGAGTGGGTTAAGGGTTGTCTTGGTCAGGTTATGGCAACTGCAGTTAAGAGTGAAATGCTTTTTAGTAATAAAGACCTCTTCTATAAAAGCTCCAGATCCAGTGCCTGAAAGGTGGAGCACGACCCATCCAGGCTAGGTGGAAGAGCATGTTTTTTGGGTGGTAGGAGCAGTGTACCGATGGGTGCTGTTGACCCACCCCCATTGGAGCAAATACAGTGTCCCATGGCTCGACAAGGAGCAAAGTGTCTGGTTGTTATCGTAAAGGAAAGGTAAAGAACTGCTAGAAGACAAGTCCATTAGCAAACCCTCCAGAAACCTTCACATGCTTTAGTTTAATTTGGGTTTTTTAAGGTAGCCTAATGTACTTGAGAGGAAAAAAGTTGCGGTTCATAGAAGGGGGAAAAAAAGCTGACACTTGTTTTGAAGGGTCATCTGTCCATTCTGTAATCAGGAAGTTCTGTCTCTGCATGATTTGATCTAATTATTATAAAAATATTTCATAGTTTTTTCCGCAGTAAATGTAATAAAATTGTTGCTATGAAGCATAAATTACCCCTGAGAATTTGTGCTTGGAAAGAGTCAATCCTTCAGTGCCTGTAAATGTGTCTGTGTACTTCAGAGCTTTCATCGCCGTGAGTCCTGAATGTTCCAAGCAGCTTAAATGCAATAGCCTTTGTGAAGCAAGTCTTTTTAAATCTCCTTTTATCTATCCAAAACTTCTGTTAACCAGATTTTCCATAAAGCTCCTAAAGGAGAGAGAAGATGGAGGCAGCGATTCCCTTCACAAGGATGCACGGAGACAGAGCAAGGGGTAAGAGGCACCAGTTGCTTTAGGGTATTTCTATCTGGATTTTAGAAACCATTTCTTCACTCTGAGACCTCTTGAACACTGGGATGAGCTGCTCAGAGCAGCAGTGGGATCTGCCTGGCTGTAGATATTCGAGACTTGGCTTGACGAGGCCATGGGTAACCCAACCCCATCTCAGTCCCTGCTTTCAACACAAGGTTGGCCAAGATGATCTCCAGGGTCCCTTCCAGCTGAGAGTTTTCTGGGTTTCTGTAAATCTGCATTATTGGCCAAAGGCAACAACCCAGGTCTGCAGAGGAGTTCTGGAAAGCTGCACTGGCTCATGGTGAAGTTGTCAGGGGATGTATTGTTCAGTAAATTCAGTTTAGTGATGCTTTTAACAAGAGAGTGATCCCCCGTGTTAAGGCATTTGGGTTTTAAAAGTCAAGTCCTGGCTTGCTTTTGATCACCACAGCTGTCCAACAATATTCTGATTGAATTCCTGTGCAGTAGAAAACTCTGTTTGGTCAAAAGCTTTCTAAAGCACGAGTGTCTTGCAGAAGACAAAGTGTTTTGTCCTTATCAGAAAGTGACATGACTCTATCAGAGTCATCCTGTCAGAAGGAAATGAAGTCATGTTATGCTGCAATTATTTAATAGTAAACAA